GTAGACCCAGTGGCATGGTGAGATTGTGTGGAAGGGGAGCTCATTGAGTTTTGAGTGGGTACTCTGGGGTTGAGATGGTCGTGTGGAGCTCATTGATGAGGGCTGGAGTGCATGTGCAGCGATGACTGTCAAGGATGCTGGGCCAGCTGGGGTGTCAGGTGATTTTGAGGTACAGGAGCTTCTTGTCGTGCTTGTTGGCCAGGCGTCTGTTGCGCTGTTTGCCAGCAAAATGCCAGGTCCAGAGGAAACAGGGCATTGTAGGCGATAGCAGTAAGAGTTTTTGAAAAAGGAGTGTAGTATGGTGTTGGTTGGCAGGCAGGTTTGTAGTGTAGACGTTGAGGGGCTGGAAGAGTGTAGGAGAACGGGTACATTTATTTTTAAGCTCGAAGCAGGAAGACGCTGGGGATTGGTCATAAAATTCATATTCCAGGGGCAGAAAGATACGCTAGGCTAAAACTAGACAGGACCTTACATGGCAGGCGCAAGGATTGCATTCATGCAGAGGTGGGATGATCATGGTATGATTGGTATAAGTACATGAGAGCTTGGTTCTACAGTGGGATGCATGATAGGGATGGGCACCTGGGACACACTTTTTTATCGATTGGTGGGAGAAGAGATCTAGCGCCCATCGGTGCCACCCGAGAGGCACTCAAACGTGGCCCATCATCAAGCGATGATGGTTTGGGTGGTCTCAGGGCTTCTGTGTTAGGCCAGACAGGTCGTTATAACTATTACTTTGAGAACTGTGAGACGGGTCTGTTAGGAGAGAGTGGAAATATGTGTATTTCAGGGTGGATGCGGCGGCTGGGCCGTGAATGTTGGTTGCGGCGTGGGTGGTGCGCTGGGAGGTACATTTGGCATGAAAGCCGCGTCATTGGCTTCCCCCTCGAGAGGGGTACTAGTTCCTCGAACTACTGAGAGGTCGACGCTGGGCCTGCCGTTTGGCAGGTCCTTTCCCAAGGGTATGCATTTGATAATAAGCCTAAAGCGAACCCTCTCAGCATAAAGAAACCTCTGATTGAGCACTTTTTCTTCACAGGCTTTGAGGGGAGTTACAGCATGTTCCAGGCCTTCCAAAGTGTCTTATACACTTCTGTGCATGTCTATTATGAATTTATAACATCATAGAGGCTGTAGCATCTCTTCATGGGGCCTTGTGCTACTTTCAGCACCAAAGAAATAAAATTTTAATAGAAACAATAGAATAATATATTATACAGTGGTCCAATTTGGTCTAAATGTTACTTAAACACTCTACATAGGTATATGTACCAAACCTACAATGTTTTGAGGGCAGAGGAAACATGGAGAGAAAGAAGTTGAGCCAGGAAAGGCTCCAAAAAGCGAAATTGATGTAAAGAGCCAGATAGCCAGGTAGCAGCTTGGTGACACTTGATGAAACTGATGAAGCTTAAGTTTGCACTAAATCTGCAAAAACTCGACTCTCAGCGAGTATTTTGTGAATAGCGGGCCTAATATTAAGTTCTAACATATGTTTTATATAGCAGATATGTTTTTATATATGTTCTCCAACTTTCTATAACATAAAACGAAAATAAGCGCCCAAACATGTTATATTATATAGTGTCTTTCAAATCAGGCATATATTTAATAAGATATTGTATGTTATATAGAGGTTTTAAGCATGCCAAGAGATGCCAGGCAGTTATTATAGGCCTAAAATTGCCTTATACAGTTGCTAGGCTGATTAGTAGTATGTCATGCAATGCGTTTGATAGCATGTGCTACTATATCAAGCTTGAGACCAGGGCCAAAAGGTGCAAGCAGGGTAATCAGACATTTGCGGACTATCTCTCAGAGTTCAAAACTTGGTCCCATTGCACTGACTGGTCAGACAATAATCTATACAATCGTCTCAAGTCTGGTATGAACCCCGACTACATCAACAGGCTGTTCTACTTTCCAACCCTGGCTACCGACTACACAATAGTTAAGACATATGGTGCAACAATTG